GATGAGGTCCAGAAGTGTATCTCTGGTGGCCTATAGTCTATGTTTTTGTTTTTTTGTATCATGGTATCATGCTAGTAGTCCCTTGGAACTTGTGCTCTAAACAGTTCAATCATTGGTTTTTGGGGTATCACAAGAAAGGCATTATTTCCCTGTGTACAAAATTTCCATTTAGTTGATGAACAGGGACCAATGCCCAGGCCCATGCCAGTGTACTTAGTGTCCTATAGAATTGGCTTGTACCTGAACTGAACAAAAATCTAAAAAATACCAAATCACAACAAAAAAATTAGTGTTGATTAGTTAGTGTTGCAAGGAAGGTAAACTTTAGGATAGAAGATGTCGATTTCAGTGAAGAGTTGTGCAGGGCAGGATGGTGTACATGTGTAATCTCAGGCACTTGGGTGGCTAAGGAAGGAGTTTCAGGTCAGCCTGGGGAAATAAATGAATGAAATAAAGGTCTATCAACAGATATATATTAAAAAAAGTAAATTTTTTTTTAGTTGTTTGATGGACCTTTATTTTATTTATTGGTTTTTGGTGCCGAGAATCAAACCCAGTGCCTCACACACACTAGGCAAGAGCTCTTCCACTGAGCCACAACTCCAGCCCCTGAATGGCCATTTTTTCTTTCTTTCCTTCTTTTTTTAATATTTATTTTTTAGTTGTAGTTGGACACAATATCTTTATTTAATTTATTTATTTTTATGTGGTGCTAAGGATCAAACCCAGGGCTTTGCACGTGTTAAGCGAGCACTCTACTCCTGAGCCACAACCCCAGCCCTGAAGGGCCATTCTTAAGCCCACCTCTGGAGTGTCAGAATTCTATATGGAAGCTCATAATAAGGACATCCAACAAACTTTAGGATTTTGCAGCCAGAGAAGAAATTTTCAGTTGATTTGATTCTTTCAAAGAAGGTAGCTTTATTGAGGCTGAAATAAAAGTTTTCATCATATGCCTTTTTGTGCATTAGGGTAAAACCACATCCATATATTCATTTTCAGTTTAAGAATAAATTGCTAGATTTCTTGGGAGAAAAAGAAAAATCCTCCATGACACCTTTGTTTCTTCTTACTCAATAGAGTCCAAGTGAACAAGTATAGACAGACAATGTCAGTAACTCAATCTAAGTCTTATGTTGCCTTCATAGAGCAAACTGGTGTGCTCCTGGAAAGGGTCTGGATAATCGGTACCCCTTCTCTAAACATTGCTTAGCATCCCATTTTTAGTATAGCACTTGCATGTGTGAAATTGCCTGTGTGTCAGCAGATTTATGACTGCAAAGTTATTTTGGATGCAGATAGATGCTGATAGAACTTCACTAAACAGCTGGTATAACAGCTCAGTGTTGGTATTCACTATGCATTCTGGGTGTCCAGAGAAATAATAGGATGAAAAGATACTTAAATGACTGAAGCTGTGCAGATTGTTCTGGAAATATTTCATCACATACTTCAGTTCCTTTTATTAAAGTCTTTTTTCTTTCCCCTCCTTCTCTTTCTCTTCCCTTTTTCCTTTCCTCCCTCCCTGCTTCACTCTCTTTCTTCTCGTCCTTCTTTCCCTTTTTGGCATTGATTCCCGGGCCTTGCTCATGCTGAGCACACTCTGCCTCTGGGGACTGAGTCTTTTAGATGTGCTGAGTATTCTATTACTTCCTGTTGACGCTTTTGCTGAATATCCTAAAAGATATTGGCCATTTAATACCAAAACATTTTCTGTTACTCTTTACTATGAAAATTTTCAAATTTTAAAATGGATAACAAATAATCATACATCTATCAAATAGATTCAACAGTTGTTATTTGGCTCAGTTCTTTTTTTTCTGAAGTATTTCAAAGTACTGGTTTAATAGCATTATAATCCTAACAACTATAGTATGAGTCTCTAGGAAATAAAGATTTTTTCTAGATAGCCACAATCACATTATCCTACCATACAAAATGTCTTTTAAAAAGGTGGAATTACTGGTAACATAAATGAAAACACTTTGTTATTACTCCTTAGTGCCTTAAAGGGGTAGGAAAAGACAGGCATCACTAGAGGAGAAAAAAAAATCAAGGGAATCCTGGAAAGCTTCTGATTGAAGGAGCTTTAGGATTTTTAGCGTTAAATCATTGTGGTGTTTGTATTCACCTTCAAAGCCTTCACTCTGTTGTTAACCAACACTGCACATCCTCAGGGCAGGAGGGGAGATACTGTAAATAGACTTTTTTTCTCTTTAGTTGTAGATGGACACAATAACTTTGTTTTATTTATTTGTATGTGGTGCTGAGGATCAAACCCATTGCTTCACACTTGCTAGGCAAGTGCTTTAACACTGAGTTACAACCCCAGCCCTGTAAATAGACATTCTTAAAAGAAACATAAGTGTCTATAGGTGGTTGAAGTACAGCTCTACCCTTTTGGATTCTTGTTTTCATATATCCGCATTGGAGAACTCAGCAGCAGAGAGTTTTTTCCCTCAAGGAGGCCGCTTTTGGGTGCCCAGCCAGCATTGTTGACAAGTTTAACTTAAAACTTCAGGTGTAGTTACTTTCAAGTAAAAGGATAGTGTCAATCAGCTGACTACTTTTAGAAATAATATTCTATTTGTTAGAATACAGGCTTCTGGGCGCAATGACTCTTGGCCATAATCTTAGTAACTCAGGAATTGAATCAGGAGAACCTCAGATTGAAGATCAGTTTAGCAATTTAGGGAGACCCTGACTCAGAAATCACAAAATAAAAAGGACTGGAGAGATAGCTCAGTAGTAAAGTACCCCCTTAGCTCAATCCCAGCACTGGGAAAAGAGTGGTAAAAATAATAGCTTTGAAGGTTCAAGAATTGCCTGTTGGCTTGGTTGCTTCTTTATGTTCTTGATCAGTGTGGGCATTTGACGTTCGTTTTCTTCATGGTAAAAGCCTTTATTCTCTTGGTTTTGGAAGCATCATTTTCTCCTCTTCCTCACCTTATCTCTTGACCTGGATCTCTGTGTGTCTTCCCCTTAAATGTTAAGTGTGACACACAGTAATTCTATTGCTGATTCATATAAACCCTAGTCTGAGCCAGGTTGATCCAGCAAAAATTGAGGAGAGACTTTGTGGGTCCTTCTGGAAAGAAACTTGAGAGACCCATGAATAAGGAAGTGCTTTCTTATTCCTCTGGCATAAAAGAAATCAGCTTTAGTTCAAGATGAAGCTGGCGCTTTGGAAAGCAGAATGGAAAGACCAGGTTCCTGATGACATTATTGAGCTGCTAGACCTACCAAAAGCATGTTGCATGACCTGTGTATCTAAGTTTATCCTACCTGGGGTTTGTTGAGCATCTTGGATGTGTGTATTTATGTCCTTGGTCAAATTAGGACATTTCCACCATTGTTTCTTTCTTTTCTTTTATTTGGTGGTGCTAGGGATTGAACCCAGGGCCTTGTGCATGTGAGGCAAGCACTCTACCAACTGAGCTATATCCCCAGCCCCCATTTTTTCTTTAATAGTCTCTCTCCAGGGAAAATCATTAGATCTCACTTAGCCTTGGTTTCCTCACTTATAAATGGAGATAATAATGGCTACTCTCAAAGGTATTTTGAAGATTTAATTGAGATAACCTCTTAAAGCATGTCGTCCAGTCTGGTTCAGTAAATGATAGTTCTTTCTCATTAGTTGCTCAGCATAGAAAATTGCTTAAGGAAATCACTAATATGGAATTTAATGAAGCTTGGGTCTGGTAGAACAGGCAGGAAATTACAAATTTGAAGTATCGTGTGCTTTCCTACCAATCCCATGCTCCTTCTCTGCTCCTAGATGATCGCTCAGTATTAGCTCAGTTCTGTATTTATCATTCTATTTAACTTTTTGTTTTTAAGGTTTATATAGAAAGTATTTATTTCTACATAATTTTCCTGAGATCATTCATTTGTTGATTGTTGTATTATTCATTTTCACTGCTGTTTGGGATTTCATTGTGTATATAATCCAACAACACATTTGCCCATTCTTCTGTGGATAGGCATTTAGATTATTTCCTTTCTTTTTTTATTATGTACAAAATGTGCTTATTTTTATTATTATACATATTCTCTGTCACTTTGCTAGAGAGTTTTTCATATATCTATGTGTATGTGTATATATATAAAACATGTGTATGTATATATGTATATGTACAAAAGTATGTTTTTTAAATTAGTTACACATACATATCCCTAGAAGTAAAGTTGCTAGGTTATGGCATGCACATCTTTGATGTTAATAAACAGTACCTAATTGTGTTCTAAAGAGGCTGTGCCAATGTACACTCCCAGCAGTTTTTTTTTCTTTCTTGTTTTCTACACAACCCAATCTGGTGTGAGTGAAATACATTTTTGTATTTATCAGTTAAGTGTGTACTAGAGAGCAATTGGTTCTGTGAAGCTTGTCATGGGACTGGGTTGGGAGACCCACACTACTGTCCCTTCCTTATGTCTTGCTCCCCAGGCTGTAACCACTTTGACCTCTCTTAGCTTTCATGTGTCTGTTTTGGTATGTATTTTACATGTTAGAGGTTTACCCACATTTGAGAGTGAATGACTGAGAATTGTTTGGGAGCTATGAATGTAGCAGGAAGGCAGCTGACCAAGTTTCCCTACTGGGCGACATGGGTGTGCAGGTGGTGGGTGCTCCCCTCTCAGTTTCAGTATCTGTGACCTGAAGCTGATCAGCTGATGCAGAGAAGACCTTCCACACCTCTAGTCAGAGCAGTTTGGGTTGCAGGAGTCTTGTGGTGTGCAGTCTGGGAGCTCCAAGGGGAAGACTGGGAGACTTCAGCGTTTATCTCACCTTCAGTTTTATGAAGTACCTGTGCCCTCAGCTGTGTTTGGTGTCCCCTAACCTTTTGGTTTTACTCAAGAAATAAATGGTCTTCAGTGAAGGGAATGAGAAGAAAGGATCAGTAGTTTTTTTAAGCAGCCTTTTAGCCAGTCCTCCATCTCCAGCCTTGTCAGACATGGAAAAGTATTGTTGAACTGTTTGTTTTTTTTTTCTTTTTCAGTGCCTGAAGACCTCTCATTAGAAGAGAGAGAAGAACTTTTGGACATTCGTCGAAGAAAAAAGGAACTTATTGATGACATTGAGGTAAAGAACAAAACCAAAAAGCTCTTGGTTTTTACTTTTGGGTGTAATACTGAATAAGAAGTTGCTTTAGGAAAATATAGAAAATCAGTGTTTAGTGTATGGCTGTAAGAACTACATCAAGAGACCAAGCAAAAGAGTTGTCTAAACTGGAGAAGCAAAAGCTGTTTAGGTCAGACAATGCAGACTCTGGGACAGAAGTGGAGATAGTGAGTCTGAAGTCTGCAGCAGTCAGCTTGAAGCTCCAGAGTCCCAGTGGCAGGTTTAAACAGCAGCACAGGTCTGCTGAGCATTGTCCTCTAAAATTTTATGGTAAGATCTTGATCATATACAATATATTGAGCACATAGAACATTGCCTAGTACATTTTTGGCACTCAGATATCCTTTGAATGAATGGTCAAGCATATATTGGTTTCCAGCTATGTACCTACTAGGTGGTAGGAGAAACAGATGAATGACAAACAGATGAATAAACAATGTCCTTCTCACACTTGTGTACTTTACTCAGGACAGGGTAAATGATGTCCCTTAGGAGGGGCGAATGAGCAAAGCCACAGTTTCAGAGCTGAGGTGTCTGTGATTTCTACAAAAACTATTCACAAGGCCTCTGGGCTCCTTCCATGTGGGGCTTGCTTGGAAAAGTCAATCATTGGCTCCTTTTAAGAAGCTTCCTAGTCATTGTCACTGCCAGAATAAATATGGCTCAAAGGCCATTGGCTGCAGGGCCAAGCCTTATCCCAGACAATGACTCCTTTCTAGGAACTCACTTTTAAATCTGACCTTCTTGGCACACAAATAATAGGGCCCTGAATAGAAATTTCTTTGTATTTGAAAGGTAATTTATAGACATTTTAAGGTAATCCTTTATTCTTGGAAAAATCCTGCAACCCAGAATAAGTTCTTTAGTTGAAGAATAAAAATTTATATTATTTGTATACAAGTAATTATACTCCTAATTAATATGATACCTTAATTTAACTCTACTTCATTCCATCAGTGAGAATGCTGAGGCCCATGGAAACTAAGATACTGTCCAGGGCCTCTCAGCCAGTAGGGGACACACTAATGGAAAGGGGAGTCTGTTCCCTCTGATGTCTCTGGTCTCTGAGTCCTAGGGATCCAGATCTGGTTTTACCCCCTGGACCCTGTCCCTGACAGAGTGACAAGAATCACTCTGTCACTGATAAGCTGCTGATAAACTACCTCAGTGCTAACCTGAAAGTGTCTGAGCCTCAACATCCGCCTGGTCTCCCGAGAATGTAGGCAGCATGGAGAAGGCACACAAGCCATGCCAGGTCGTGGGGAGTGGCTATACTTCCGGGGACTAGGGACCTGCTGCCTTCTTTTTGCTGGATAGGCTTCCTTTTTACACCTCTAATATTCTTCCACATTCCTTCTTAACTTTACACACAAGTACTCTAGAGTCTGCCTAGTGAACCTCTCTCATCTGTCATCCAACAAGGGATAGACAAATCATTTTGTTTTCTCCTAAGCAGTGCTGGCTCTGACTTTGAGGTATCGGGTGCTGGTACCTGTGGTACCTGCAATGCTCCAATGAGCCCTCTGGGAAGGTGGTATCTACAAGGTTAAAACATGCCTGAGCCTAGGTGGAAGAAGGCTAAGACACCCTGCGACCCCAAAATCCTTCTTTTTTGGCAGAGGCTAAAATATGAAATTGCAGAAGTGATGACAGAGATTGACAACTTAACCTCTGTGGAGGAGAGGTAAGCAGTTTATGGCTTTGCTTTCAAGTTGCTTCATCTCTTTGCTCCCCACCTCCACTCTCTAGCTGAACTTGTCAACTGGTGTCTGCTGCAGGGGTGAGAGGACTAGGCCTGGGTTATGGGGGCCTTTGGAGCTGTTCATTGCGTTTTCTGTCCCTGGCTCCTTCCTCCTCCTGGGAGGCAGGGCTGTAGCTCTGCAGTTTATTTCCTCTAAGACCTTGTCTACCTTTGTAAGTTTGGGAGTAAGCACAAGCAATCAGAAGTAACTACCTAGAAATAAATTTTCTGTATCATAAGAAACTGTGCTTTTTTATTTAAAAAAAAGTTGCTATTTTTCATCATTATTTTTTTCTGAAGAAGTATGTCCCAAGTTATCATATGTTAAAAAGAGCCAGAGTTCCCCAAGTGTACCCATGCTTTTTACTTTGTTGAGTTGTCCTGTGTTGTTGTCGTGAGAGGGAAGATGTGCTGAAGGGCTGTGACTGGGCTGTGTTGTGTGAAATGCTGTGTTCTCTAAATGTACCTGTTAATGATTTTTTTAATTATTTCAAATGAATAGCAAAACTACTCAGAGGAACAAACAAATAGCCATGGGAAGAAAGAAATTCAACATGGACCCCAAAAAGGTAAGAGAATACTTTCGGTTTTCTGGCATGTGAATGATTGGTTATTCAGCTTTAATGGCTATCTCCCTTGGGACAGAGGTGGCCGTATCACCTCATAAAAAAGATGGGATTAACATTACATTTTTATAAAAACCAAAAGCAGGGAGGGGAGGTCTGGCTGTTCCTGAGCAGGGTGAAGCAGAAGCAGCCTGTTGAGCTGATTTCCAGGCAGAAAGGCTTTTATTGCTGTGTGAGTTCCAAAAACACACGTGACTCCAGGTAACTAGCAGGAACCACTCCCTGGCCATGGGACCCTGCAGGGCCCTTGCCCTCAAGGTTTATCTCCCTTTATCTTCCTAAGAAGCTAGGCCTTCTCACAGGGACTTTTGTGATCAATGAGGGCAGAGGTGCGAGTGGAGTCCAGGTGCACAGTGTTTGTAGATTTCATTGTCAGCTGGGCTGAAGAGTTCAAGTAAGAGGACCTTATCCCTGTCTTGTCCCTAAGGGAAAGGTGCCTCCATGAAATAACACGGAATTCTCCTGATTGAAATGAATACCTTGTTCTTTCCTCAAGTTGGATTTTCTAGGAAAGCACTTGAAACCTCTTGTTTTTGAGATTGAACTAAAAGATTTGGCAGAATCTGTAAAGCTTCTTAGAACACATGACTCAGTTGTCACATTGTTTTGGTTTTGAAAGAGAAAAGTAGACCTGTGTTAGTCACAAAGGCTCCTGGTAGAGGAGAGGATAGGTATCCCATGGAAGGTCTAACTGAAGAGCTGGTTTACTCATTACTGGTGGTCTAAGATTGGTATTCATTTGTTTTTCTTTGCTTATTCTGATATTGAGCTTCTAAACAAATTAGTAAATTTGTTTGTTTTTATTTTTTTTTTTTTTTTTTTTTTTGGTGGTGCTGGGGATTGAACCCAAGGCCTTGTGCATGCAAGGCAAGCACTCTACCAACTGAGCTATGTCCGCAGCCCCAGTAAATGTTTCTTGCGGGAAATACATTGTACAAGGTCTAAGGTTTGTAAACTCACTTTTTGTAAGTACAAATTCCACTGAAAATCATTTTTGAAGAAATATTTATCAAGCTGGGCATGGTGGCATATGCCTGAGATCCCAGCTACTTGGGAAGCTGAGGTTGGTAGGATCACTTGAGACCATGAGTTTGAGACAAGCCTTGGCAACATAGTGAGACCTGTCTTGAAACAACAAACAACCCCCTCCTCCCCCCAAAAAATGTATATCATCGTTCCTTGTGCATGATTTGCAGATTCGGATTTTCTTAGAGCTTAGCATATCTACAGCTGGAATAGGGTTTTTGTTCAACTGGTATACTCTAGCCACCATAAAAAATTTCCAGTTGCTTTCTAATTCTCTGTTCTTGAGGCATAAATCAACTCTAAAATGGAATGGAGTTGTCAATTGAAATGATTTTTGTGCATTTGGTAATGATTCCATTTTGGGGGTTAGTAAGTTTTTGTTTTTGTTTTCCTTTAGAAGTTGAGTTTACTGAGTTAAATTATCAGCAGATTTCACAAGCATTGGCGAATGTTTTGAAACTGGACTTCATGTTTAAAGGGACCCAAGTATAGCACAGTGTAGCATACCAATGAGTTTGTAAATAAATTCAAGTCTCATGAACATGCAGATAAATAAATGCTGATTTTGTTTCTTATAGTGATGCTACCCCTGTGCATCAGGCTTCAGTTTCATGAATGTGAACTCACCTCATACTTTTGACATCTTCTCTGTGGGTTCTTGCTTGTCCTCTCACTTTTCATGTACCATGTGTCAGGTTTATAATAAGGGCTAACACTGAGAACTTCCTGTTTTCCAGGAACTATGTGAAGGAAGCACTTTAATTAATATACTTAATCCTTACAGCAACCTTATAAAGTAGGGAGGTTCCATTTTAATTATTGTCTCACAGTTTGGGAAAAAGCACAGGACAATTAAGAAACACCCCACTATCATGAGCAAGGAAGACTCATGACTCAGTGCCTATAACCACTTGTGTTACTGAGCTTTCCATTGCTGTGAAAAATACCTGAGAAAAACTAAAGGAAGAAAGGTTTGTTTTGGTTCATGGTTTCAAAAGTTTCAGTCCCCGATCACTTCGCCCTATGTTCTGTGGTGAGACAGAACATCATGGCAGGGAGCGTGTGGTGGAACAGAGCTGCTTACATCACGGCAGCTAGGAAGCAGAGAGAGGAAGGGGCTGGGGAGATACTGGCTTCAAGGGCATGCCAAGGACAACTCTCTCTGACTAGGTCCTACCCGTTAAGTTTCCACTGCCTCCCAAGCGTCCATTAAACTATGAATTCAGCAATGGATTCACCCATTGAGGAGATCAGAGCCCTCATCATCCAGTCATCTTTCAAAGTTACCACCTCTGAACACTGCTGCCTCTTAGGTCACATGCACTTTGGGGGGACATTTCAGGTCCAAACCATAAACTTACTACTTTGCTGAGCTGGGTGGGACCCTGTGGTTGGTTGGTAGGGAGCTCCGAATCCAGACAATCCAGTGTTCACAAGGTGGCTGCTCGCCACATCCAAGGAAGTAAGGATTTAATCAGGTTATGGCAAATTGCTGAACAGGCTTCATTTATGTCCCTTTTAGGATTTAATCAGGTTGTGACAAATTGCTGAATAGGCTTCATTTGTGTCCCTTTTCACCAAAAAGACATTTTTACACTAATTTAACTGGTCCTGTTCAACGACTTATTTGTAATCATGTTGCTCAGTAAATGCAGAGGCACATTAAGTCTGCAATGTGGATGAAAAATTATCAAAATTATTTGCTTTTAGACTGGTTCATGGTTTCAGAGATTTATGGCTGTAGCACTTAGTTTGGGTTCACTAAGGCTATAGACTGTGGCTCAAACAACAGGTATTTTTTTTCTCATAGTGCTAGAGGCTACAAGGCTACAAGACAAGAGTGCCAACATGATGGGGGCCTGGTGAGGCCCCTCTTTCAGATTGCAGACAGCTGCCTTGTTACTGAATCCTCACATGGCCAGGGCAGGGAGCTAGCCGATTCCGGATACACATTCATACTCACTCATTCTCGGGCTGGGGACATAGCTCAGTTGGTAGAGTGCTTGCCTTGCATGCACAAGGCCCTGGGTTCAATCCCCAGCACCACCAAAAATAAATAGATAGATAGGTAAATAAACAAATATTTTAAAAATAAAATAAAAAGGGCCAGAGATGTAGCTCAGTGGTAAAGCTACCCTGGGTTCAATCCCCAGTACCAAACAAATAAGCTCCTGTATTTCATGTCTGCGAGAAGCTTTCATGGTAATGAGTGCTCATTCCATTTCATTGTAGGTATTATTTCATCATGTGTCCATCAGAACATGTTTATCTGCCTTTTTAAAAAATATATTTTTCTTTTAGTTGTAGATGGACACGATATCTTTATTTATTTTTATGTGGTGCTGAGGATCAAACCCAGTACCACACGCATATGAAGCAAGCGCTCTACCAGTGAGCTAGAACCCCAGCCCTGTTTATCTGCCTTATTGGTTGATTGTTTCCAGTTTTTGGAGACTCTAAAATAGACTGCTAAAGACAATTATGTATTTGAGAGAAAAAAAAAAATCTCCAGATGGACTATGTGGGTATGAGGAAGCCTGGCCTTGAGCCTGGGAATTTTAGCTAGAAAAGCCTGTCTGAATTGGTAGGAACAGCCTCCTGGCAGATAGATACCAGAATCCCCTGTTCCCTTACTGGCCTGGCCAATGTGCATCTTGGAACCAGCTCTGAAACTGTGCCAGAGAGAAACTTTTGCTCTCTTGTTGGGTCCCTGGGGTTCCCCTGAGACAGAGCGCAACTGGTCAGGCTAGAGGTAGCTTCTTGCTTTTTGAAATTGTCAGCTCTGCTCTGTAGGTCCTTAAAGTATGCATCAGTTTCAGCTGGTGTAAGATCAGTGGTAGCATATCAGTTAATGTGTTTTTGGTCTCAGGTAACAGAAATTTTAGCCACAAAAATTGCCTTTTGATTATACAATAGATATTTATCTTCTCACATAGCTGCTATGTAGTCCATGGCTCCTAAGTGACAGGAACAAGGTGCCTGTGCTCATCTTAGCCTTTCCCTCATATGATGGCTGCTCTGGCTCAGGTCATCACATCCTTGTACAAACTAGGAAGAAGGAAGAAGAGCAGTGCTAGCTCCTGGGAATTCTTTTACCAGGAAATCAAAATGTTTTTCAGCTGTTTGCCATGGGCTTCATTTATGACTATTTGGCCAAATCTGTGGTAACAAGTTCATTTTGAATTTCAAGGGCAGCTGAGAGAGTGATTATCTAGTGTAGGATGAGACAGAGAAAGGCATTTAGGTTGGGTGTTAGGTTGCCCAGCCAGCAGCATCCATCTCATGTGAGGAGTACCCCGACACAAAACAAATCATTTCCCAGGCTTAAGAAATCCAACATCATTATTACATTACATCTGCTTTTAGAATGTCTAACAATCACTTAAAGTGGTTTGTTCAGCAACCCATTTATCTGTCTTTTAACCTGTTTAGTTCCCAGGGTGGAGGTATGTGCTTTTCTTGGCTGGATGAAATGTAGCATGGTACTGTGAAAGTCAGAAGTTTAGTGGGTCTCTAGTATTTTTGCTCTGACCAAATGAATATAATTCCATCCTTGAAAATTGAGTTTGAGTGGCACTCCTAATCATCATTTTCTGTCTTATGTTCTTCAGGGAATTCAGTTTCTAATAGAGAATGACCTGCTACAGAGTTCCCCAGAAGACGTCGCCCAGTTCCTCTATAAAGGAGAAGGCCTAAATAAGACTGTCATTGGGGACTATCTGGGTGAGAGGTAAGTTAAAGGAGGATGGGCAGCTGCACCTGGGCCTACCCTCCATTTTGGGGTTTTCACAGCTCCTTAGCTACAAGCATGGGTTGCATGTGCTGACCCCCATACAGGGGGAACCTAGTACAGTCAATTATTCCTCTTGTTTACTGTGTGGAAGGATAGGTATGGGGGCACTTGGGTCCAGGTGAGATCTGTACCCCTTGGGGAATCGAGACAACTGACAGCACTGCTGCCTTTCTCAAAATCTTGGATAACCGGTTGGTCTTCTGAAGTTTGGCCCATAAATACTCCAGATGTCTCAGTGATTTTCTTCCCCATATCTCATGGGGTGTGAATGAAGGTAAGAATTGATTGTTCATATTTAAAGTAGAAAGCAGCAGGTCAAACTTACTTTCCCAACCTTTTTCACCTACAGTCCACTTACTGTGCTTAGCAGAGGTTTAAGCAGTACATGCCAAGTGTGCCTAAATAGATTTGTCAAGGGCCAAAGAGAATATTGTTAAAAGCCCAGTGGTTGCTCTGATCTGTCAATCAGATCGTTTCTGTTTCCAGCTTTTTATTAAAAATACTTAATCAGAAGAACATTCCCCAGCTCATTCTGTGAGCTTTCTACTACCTGAGACCAAAACCAAAGACATCACAAGAAAACAAAGCTGCAGGCCAGTATCTCTTAGAATATGGAAATACAATATTTCAATAATTTTTTAGGGAGCTGGGGCTGTGGCTCAGCAATAGTGCACTTGCCTGGTATGTGTGAGGCACTGGGTTTGATTCTCAGCACCATAAATAAATAAATAAATAAATAAACAAACAAAGGCCTATCAATAACTTAAAAATATTTTTTAAAAAATAATTTTTTAGGAAACAAATCTAACAATAAATAAAAAGGATTACACACCAAATGGGATTTATTCCACCAGTACAAGGTTAATTCAGCATGCAAAAGTCAAAGTGCCCTGTACTGTGCCACTGTGCCAGTTTAGTGGGAATCAGCTGACAGGTACATTGTCAGACAGACAGGGCTGGATCCTCAGTTTTTCTTCCTGTCTCCTAGGACAGTGTCTTTGTGGTCACTGCCCTCCTGGGACAGACAGGAGCCATCAGGACCCTGAAACAACATCAGAGACTGCAACACCACACCTTCCACATGCAGATCCCAAAGAGAAAGATGGAGAGAAGTTGGGACATGACCTTGGTGCCCTTGCACTTATCTTTCCCTCCCTCTTTCTCCCCGCAAGCCCCAGATGGGGGAGCTGCCTGTGAACAGATGGCACTTGCCCTCAGCCATGTCTAGTATTGATGCTGGCATAGGCTGTAGTGTTGACACTGTCAGTGAACTTGCCCAGAGAGTGAACACTGGTTTTCAAGCTGCATTTTTTTTAGTACCAGGGATTGAACCCAGGGACACTCAACCCTGAGCCTCATCCCCAGCCCTATTTTGTATTTTATTTAGAGACAGGGTCTCACTGAATTGTTTAGTGCCTTGCTTTTTGCTAAGGCTGCCTTTGAACTGGTGATCCTCCTGCCTCAGCCTCCCAAGCTGCTGGAATTACAGGCATATGCCACCATGCTGGCCAGGCTGCATTTTGTAGGCTCTCTCAACTAGGGCAAGTCACAGGTGTCTCCTGTAAGGTACAAGTGTTTTGAGAATACTGGCCTACGTTAATTCTAACACTCTGCTACCCTCAGGTGGCCAGTGGTGGGGGCAGGTAGAACCCCAGCATTTTGATACTTGGGGTATCCTCAATATATCTTGTGATCAGGTCCTGTGGAGCATCTTTCAGTTAAGAGCCAATGGCACACATTGTTAAGTCATTTCCTTTTTGTTGTCATTTATTTTCATGATTAGTTTTTAAAAGCTAATACAAGGTATTGTTTCTTTCCCAAGCTTTGCTTTCTGAGCCCAGTATTGTACCTTATGGTTCATGGCCTTGAGCAAGTTAATTTACTTTTCTGAGCCTCAAAACCCCCATTGGTGAAATGGGGGTGGTAATAGACCTAGCTCATGGGGCCATTTTGAAGGTTTCAGGGTGCACACTAAGCACTGAGTAGACCTAACAGCTTGGCATCTAAGTGGACCCGATTGGCCATGATGGTTGTCCTTTGGGGAGATTTTAATGTTCTTCTTCCTGACTCTTACCTACTATGAAAGTACACTTCTAAAATCCTATTAATTCTGTTTTGTTTTAAGCCTGAGAACAAATTTTTATAGTGAGAGGAGAATTTTCACTTGTAGTCATATAAAATTAAAATTGCAAAATCTTGCTGTAGGACGTGTCTTTCTTTTGAAGTCATTGAAATAACATACATTAGACTTGAATTTATTTCCACTCTTTCCTAGAGATGAATTTAATATCAAAGTTCTTCAGGCTTTTGTGGAACTCCATGAATTTGCTGATCTCAACCTTGTACAAGCCTTAAGGTTAGTATTTGCTGCACCCTGGGCATAGACCAGAGGAGGAGTCATGAGCAGTAGTGGCTGTTGATTCACTCCAAGGAACTCAGAGGGAGCCTGCAAGTCCTACAGACACTGGCTGCTCATTCCCATGTTCCTTCTGCTGCGTGACATTCTGCAGCCCTGTACAGGAATTGGAACATGCACACAGGGATGCAAATCACTCTTTCCTCCTTATAACTTCCAGTTCTGCATCCTGCTCGTAGTTTCTTTGTTGTCCATCATTTTGAATGACATGCAGGAGTGTGTGTGTGTTTTCTTCACATATCTGCTTCATGCTCTAGTTGGTGTGACCTTAACATCACCCCAACCCATTTTCCACTAGACTTGGCCTTGAGCACCAAGCACAAGGGGGTTACCCTTATTGTTCCCAGGAGGATGTAGATCTCCCACCATCAGAGGCCACACTCTGGCCTGCCTTGTCTAAGGAAAGCCAATGTCACTCTGAGTCACGCAGGGTGGATGGAGGAGGACAATGCTTAGACACTCTGTGCAGCCCTGTTGGCACCCACAGTATACTCCCTGAATGCCCACTCGAACAGCTGGCCCTGCAATCTTGAGTGGCTGTCTCTTTGTCTTTATCTGTTGTGTCCTGGCTGGGTGGCATGGCTCTTCATCTGGTCTGGGTACTAATTCTGACCCACTGACCTATGTAGGAAGTGGCTGCAGGGACAGGCCTCTGGTGGGAGCCACCTGTCCTGCTCCAGAGCTGAGGCTATCATAGCCATGTCTTGTCTGTTCACATTCTAGACCTCCTTCCCTGTACTCTGGTCTTATTTACATGGTCTTATTTACATTGTGGCCTCACTTCAGCTGCAGACTGAAATACACGTGGTGTTTTATGTGATGCTCATAACACAGGGTCAGCCCGGAGCTGAGCTGTGCACTGACGGTGCGCGGACACAGGAAGCCTGCAGCCCTGCTTTCCATTTTCAGACTCAGTTTTTGAAAACTGTTCATCCAGAGAAAGGCACAGGCCTGGGAGTGTGGCAGGTACATCCACGGCACAGCCAACATCACCTCTGTGGTGCCATTTATTTTGGCTAGTTTCTGATCCATAGCAAAAGGCCAGGAGAGGGCAGAAAGCTGCCACTTCAGCTTTACTCCAGTGGGTCCTTGAGTGCTGCTTGGCTTGTCGCACTTCTGTCATTGGGCCTGTCCCAGTGTGCCCGAGAGTGGGGCAGCTGGTCTTTGGGAGTGCCCCATAGAGCTTACATGGGGCAGAGAGAGAAGGGATAATAGATATTTCTAAAACCTATGTTTCATGGCTTATCAGGAGCTAGTTGCTATGGCAGCAAAAGTGAGACTGGATAAGGGGTCCTCAGGCTGGTGGCAGGGAAGTCTAGGGTGGCTTAGGGCCGAGGACGGTGTGCTGATGGAGCAAACAGCAGGGAGGGGCCCCTGGGTGCTCCTTTAGTTTGAGGAGTTACCTGGAGGCTTTGGGATTTTATTCTGAGGAAGTCAGAGGTGTGGGGCTAACTGAAGCCATCCATTCTGTGGAGCAGGGCAGGAGATCATTTGTCCTGGTGGGGGTGTGTTGCTGACCAACATGGGGCAAAGAAGGAGAAAGTCAGCAGTGGCCCAGCCCAAGCCAGCTGTCGTGATATCCTGGGATCAGGCAGGATATTGAGTCTGAAGCTGTTGAAGCAAGTCCTCAAAAAGAGGGACCCAAGTGGCAGGAGTCTGTAGAGTGAGGGCATTTATGGGACCTGCAGAGGAAGAAAAGCTCAGAGGGAGGGGAGCAGCATCTGATCACTGCAGGAACAGCACCTTACAACCAAGGACAGTCCAGAAATTAGTTGGAGTTTATAGTTCCAATCTCATCCCTCATCCTTGTGCTGAAGTCGGGCTGGCTGTGGGACCCCAAGGTGCAGGACAGCCACATCTCTGCCCTCAGGGCTTAGGGCTGACAGGTAATAGGTGGTACTGGGTGCCTTGCAGCTGGAAAGCAAAGAAAGGGACAAGAGTATTGGCGCAGGGCTTGCCCTTTTAGGTAGGGAAGACTCATGGAGACCTCAGTGAGAAGGGACATCTGAGAACAGAAGCATTTGATTACCTTGGGCATGATCCCTAAAGTAGAAGTGTGTCTGCCCCATCTAGGTAGCAACAGACTCTGTAGGTGGCCCCAATGGTGTGGATGGGCCATCGAGTCTGTCCTGCTGACTCTGACCTTGCCGTTGTGGGTGGAGGTAGGCATGGGGATGTGGGAGGGCTCATGTGGCCATGTGATGGGTGCAGATGGTGGTGACAATTAAGGGCAAGAAGTGCTGGCATCCTGGATGTTTTAAAGGCAGTGGCAGCAGACCTTGCTGAAGAGTTAGTTGTATCATAAAAAGGCAGAGCAGTCAGTGAGCCTGTCTTGAATTACCAAGCAGAAGGAAACTGAATCTTTCCTTGCTGGCACCCCTGCCAAGGTGGCATCTCAGGCCAGGGAGAGAACGTCTTTGCTTGGGCAAGGAAGGAGCTGTTCTAGGTTCCAGGCTGGGTCCATCCTTAGCATGGCCATGGGGTGAATGTCCATCTCTCTACAGGCAGTTCTTGTGGAGCTTCAGGCTTCCAGGAGAGGCTCAGAAAATTGATCGCATGATGGAGGCCTTTGCTTCACGCTACTGCCTGTGCAACCCTGGAGTCTTCCAGTCTACAGGTCAGTGGCCCAGCTTGTGGCCTAGAYCCCCACCCTTCAAGCTTGTTCCTAGAACCTGCCTTCCCTGAGCCAGGAGGGTCCTGCTTGTAGCTACACATCAGACCCATCCCACTCTGCAGAGAGCTGCCACTTCAGGGGGTAGACCCAGGGCCCTCCCTCGAGGCATGCGTGGCAGGGCCAGCATACAGGTTCCTGCATGGGTCGTCCTTGTGGGTCCCACACTCTCCATGTAGAAATTCCAGCTGGCTCAGGCTGCTGAGCCCTCTGCTGTCCGCTGACTTGTTGCAGACACATGCTATGTACTGTCATTTGCAATCATCATGCTCAACACCAGCCTTCACAACCACAATGTGCGTGACAAACCCACTGCAGAACGGTTCATCACCATGAATCGCGGCATCAACGAGGGAGGAGACCTCCCAGAGGAGCTGCTGAGGGTGAGTCCCGCAGGACCCTGCTGCTCGCTCTTTCTTTCTTTTCTTTTCTTTTTTTTTTTTTTTTTTTTTTTTGTGTGTGTGTGTGGTACCAGGGATTGAATGCAAGAGTGCTTTTCCACTGAGCTACATCTCTAGCCCTTTTACTTATTTTTAATTTTGAGACAGGGCCTGGCTGAGTTGCTGAAGCTAAACTGCTATCCTCCTACCTCAGCCTCCCGAGTCACTGGGATCATAAATATGTGCCACTGTGTCCAGCTTCACAACCCTGCTTCTGAACTGCATCTTGCTGTTTCTCCTCCTTCCTCAAATTTATCAAAATGTATGAAAATTGGCAGTTCTGATTTATTTATCTAATTTTATCACTTATTTTTGTATTTTCAGACAGGGTCTCTGCCTCAGGCTACTGAGGAGCTGGGATTACAGGCAGGGACCACCATACCTGTTGACTCATGGTTTTGAATTGCATATTTTGGGCATATTTTTGTTATCTTGGTCCTGCTCACTTTATGCACCTTCTTCACTGGAGAGAGAGAGAAAGGGCAATTACTTCTCCTGTTTGAAACCCTGAACTTGCTGTTGTTTCTCCTCCTTACAGAACTTGTATGAAAGTATTAAGAATGAACCGTTTAAGATCCCAGAGGATGATGGGAATGACTTGACACACACGTTCTTCAACCCAGACCGGGAAGGCTGGCTTCTGAAGCTGGGTGAGCCTGCTGTGTGTGACCTGTGCTCGTGGCCCCTCAGCCCACGCAGCAGCTCCCATGGGGTCCTCCCAAGCTCCTTGTAGCAAAGCCCCTTACCACTTGGCAGCAACATTAAAAGACAATTCCATTGAGCCAAAGCCTACTCTCAGCAGCCGCACGTGCCAGGCCGTTGGCTGCTTCCCTGAAGTGTGGCCTTTCAGAGTGAGGCCCTACTTGCTGTGTCCATGGCAGGGACTGCACAACCTATCCCAGAAAACTGCTGAGTTAGCATTTATGTAAATCCAGGGCAGTTTTCTGTACGAGAAGCAAGTGCATTTATCTCCAAAGAACCTGTGTGCCTTTCTCTTGGTTTGGCGTGGCTGTGATTTTTGACGAGTGGTTTAAATGTGCCTTCTTGTTGTTTTCCTTCTGCCTGTGGCTCCCACCTTTCTGTTCTGTGACGGGCTGTCCCTGCTTGTCCTGCGTTAGGAGGTAGGTACCCAGTGGCTTCCTCCCCTCCCCAGCGGCTCACTCCTCCTTCGGTTTCTCTCCCCCACGTTGGTCTGTGTGAAGCTCTGGTTTGTGGCTGCCATTCATCTGATCCATTTGGCTTTGGACTTGCTGGGTCAGCGTTGTGCACGGTGTGGTGTATTGGCACCCACCCCAGGGACAGGGTCAGCATCGGCTGGGACAGGAACGCATGGGGACACTGTGTGGGAACAAGCTCGCCCCCCACCCCTGCCCCATCTTTAGGTCCTGCAGCAGTGAAGAAGCTGGTAACCAGCCTGTCCCACAGCCTCACCAGTCTCCCCATACTAACCAAGCACTGCATGTTTACAGCTCCTGGAAAGATCCTGGGGATGCTCTGAAGGCTTTCTCACTGGTGACGAGTCTAATGGCTCTTATACTTTATGGGCAATTGTAGCAATTTTTAGGGGTTATTTTGACTCTGGGGGGGGGATGGATTTTTACCTTACGTTGACAGTAAAGGCCACAAGATGTGACTGCTGTATTTTCTCGAGGTACTTCTGAGAACAGATGATTGCTGTGTGGCCTGTCAGACCCGAGGGCTAGAATTCTGGTGATTTTTATTATTTTTTCATGAAGGGAGGATGAGATGTTGCATGATGACAGTGTGACAGGCACAGGCCACCTGAGCTAATGGGCTGGGGCTGTTTCCGTGGGCCTGTTCCCACTGGGGTCTTCAACCTTGGCATTGCTCTCTAGCTCTTCTCTGGCTGTGCCAGTGTTTTAGAAGGATTCTGGATCTTTGCCTGAATACTGAGTGCTGTAGCCTTGGACTCAGATGCCTGAGTGACAGCAGATATACCCCAGACCTTCCAAGTCATGTGGTGCTTGTGTCCTGGAGTGGGGCAGCAGGAGGACCGCATCTGGAGTCACCAGCAGTTGCACTCAGCCGTAATAAGTAGGGCACTCATTGGATTAAACTCCTTCCTTCCATTTCTTGCATTGCCCAAGAGTGCCCCCTTGAGGGACAGTGACAGCCATTCAAGTGGCCTCTGTTTCTGGGGAGGAGGCCGGCTCTGAAGACATAAATAAGTGAATGAAATAAAGGTACAAGACTTCTTGTGTCTGTAGAGTGTTTTCTGGACGAGCAGATAAGAAGGCCATGAGGGAGTGCACAGAGCGCTCGTGTTTCTGTGCAGTTGTCCTGGGCACAGATGGGGTGCCAGGAACTCCCCATGCACCCAAATGTGGCCTCAACTCAGTGGTCAGCCAGTGGGGCATGGGGTCTGCCTGGGCAACAGGTGCTGCTCTGCAGCATTGGCACGTGAAGCTCTCTTGCCCCGCAGCCCCTGTATCTGCTGTCTCCTTGGGAAAGCCTGAGGCTAAGGCCTTGCAGGCCTGCACTCTGCACAGCAGGCCCTGGAGCCGCTGAATGACAGCAGGCTCTCTGCAGAGCTCCTGGGGCCTGGAGGTGCCTCTGCCTGTGGGCCTGCCCCAACTGTGTGGAGGAGCCCAGGCCTGGCCACTAGGTACATCCAATGGTATTGGTCCCCAAAGGGTGAAGAGAATAATATATGTGCCAAAAGACAAGTCTGGTGACTCAGGTCAGTCTCAAGGTGTGACCCTGTACCGAGTGGGCACGCAGAAACCCTCCCAGTACAGGGCAGACATTGCAGGGACATAGGCACCTGGCTAGACAAGTGTGAAACTCCAGAATGTGGGTTTCCAAATGTGCGTTCAGACAGGAATGTCGCACGCACAGTGTAAATTTAGCTGCAGAGCAGCTGCTGCTCCAGGCTGGGAGTGGGTGAGCTTAGGCATAGTGCGCAGGCCTGGCTTGCAGTTGTTGAGGAATTTAAGACAATGGGTTTCGAGAGTGACTCATGTCAAAAACACAGAACGTGGTCAGAGATGAGCTGCCATGGAGGGGAAAGTGTGTGCATGCCTGTGCCACGCGTGCCCTTTGTGTGTGCGTGCACTCACAGGCCTGGGAGCAGTGGAAATGGAGATTTACAAATCAAAGTGGTGCTTACCTGTTGAGGAGAAGCTGGCTCCTGTCTGCAGGTGAGCGTGGGGATGGATGGTGTGGGCTGGGCCTTCTGGCATCTCTCAGCAGAACCTGCCATGGCTCTGAGGCCAGGAGCGTCGCCCATCCCTGCCAGGCCTACCTCTGAGCTGAAAGGTGTCCTGGGCTGGCAGACTTGGGCCCAGCCCTTATGGCATACCTCAGTCTGGGCTCCTGCGGCCCTGGCTTGAGAGGCTCCACTGACCAAGGACTGGACGGGGGTGGGTTTTCCAGACACAACACTGAATGGAGAAGCAGTGGGGTGGGGTCCAGGGAACAAAGCTGAGGGTTCTTTCCTGCAGATCCATCTCCATGACCAGTGATGATTACAGGTCAGTGACAGTGGAGATGGGCATTCTAGGGGCAAACAGAGCCAGCAGGCAGCCCTGATGGCCTGCTGTGGCGGGGTGTGCTGGAAAAGCAGGCCCTGGACAGGAGCTGCCTGGGATCATGGACAGCTCCAGGACCCCTGCAGCCATGTGGAGGCAGGGCCTGTGGCTGGGAGGGCAGCAGAACACAGGAGCCCTCAGGGCCGAAGAATTTGGGTCTTCACAATGAGTGTAGCAGAACCTCTGGGGGTATAAAGTAGGGGAGGGATGTGACCAGTAGGCTCTTTTGAAAAGACGCCTCTAGCTGCTGCAGGTGCTGGGTGGGTGGGGGCACCATGGAAGCTTCCAAAAACGCACTAGTGCCCGAGGGGCAGAGCTTTAGATGGTGATAGATGCAGTGGTAGAGGCTGCCATCAGCCGATGTGGCACAGGGCCTTGGGACTTGGGGAGACACCTGGAAGGAATTAGCATTGTCCTCTTCTCATGATCGTAGGGCACAGAATGTCCTTCTATCCCCTTGTTGCTGGAAAACTTTGAGATAAGGCAGGTTGCCCCTAGTGTCACCTGGACCCCATATAGAATGGGATCATGTCCCCTATATGGAACCAGCTTCCTATGGGGCACCCTGTTAGGACTCCCATGCAGAATGGGCTCCCTATCAGGCCCCCATAAGGAATGGTCTTCCTGTCAAGATGGATGAGACAGGCCCAGACCTTGGGAGCAGGAGACTCCATGGTGAAGCTGTGTGCAGGAGCTGGGAACAGGACCCAGGCGTGGAGATGCTGAGAGGAAGGAATGTCACTCCAGGCCAGAGGAGCCTGAGCACAGAGCCTGTGGCATGAGGGTGTGATCTGGTGGCGGGGAGGGGCCCAGGGACATTCTGAGGGGATGGCAGAGGTGCATCAGGAATCTCACTCTGACTGATGGAAGTGGTATGGTGAGGACAGAGCGGGGGTGGCAAGTCTGTCTGGGGAGAGGGAGGGATAACTGGATGCTAAAGCTTCCTGGCCCTTGCTTTCGTAGCAACTGGACTCCTGATCTGTTTTAGGCTGTCGAGGAAGGACAGATTGAAGGTCCAGTGAGTGAGGCAGGGGTGAGGGAGAGGTCCCAGCTGGGCTCTGGAGACACCCCCTGCCCTGCAGGGCCTCTGCCTGCCGGGGTCAGGCTCCCTCCCTCCCAAACTGTCTTTCCTTCTGGTGTCCTCATCCTGGGTCTCCACAAGCTGAAGCCCAGTCAGGGAAGCTCCTGCCTCAGCCCCCGGACATGACCCTCGCCTTTCCCCCAGGCCTTTCCTTCCACCGCTCTGTCTCCATGCCCCACACAGTGCTCCCAGTCCCRAGGAGGGATCCCAGACCCCAACCCTTCCAGCTCCCTGTCACCCCATCAGTACTGGGGAGCCCTGGGGAAGGGAAGGTAGGTCTCTTCTCACCTGCATCCGCATAGCGCTTGGGTCTGTTGTGGTGAGCAGTGTTTTCTTTCTCCCTCCTTTACTTCCACCCGCCCCGACACCTCCTGACTTCACCTCAGAAGCCAAGGCCAGCAGTTGAAGTTGCTTGTGCTGAGCGTCAGGGCTAACAGATCAGACGGACTSTGTGTGTGCAWGTGTGTAGTGTGTGCTCCAGATCTTGTTAAAAGATTAATTTAATTCAATCTAATAGTTCCCTGAGCCAAGGGGTAATTGACTTTGATGGATCCCAGGGTTGCCCAAAGTACCCAGTAATGTGATAACGCCTGGGCAAAACAGGATTAGCCCTGGATAGACCTGGGTGAGCGGCGTTGACTTCATCATGTTATCATCTCATGTGGGGAGATTGCACCCATCCATTATGACTTTTCCAGGAAGCAGATTTGAGAGTGCTGTGTTATCTAGGGTGACCCTGGGTGGCCATGGAGAGGATACCTGTGTGGGCTGGGTGGGGGGTGCATGTGGGCCCCAGCCATGCACCCAGCCATCCCAACTGGACGGCCAGGCCACACAGCTTGTCCTGACTTTGCTAACTTGGTCAGAATATAAAGGTTTTCACGAAGGAGAAAACTAAAGCCCAAGCTTGGCTCCTGGGGTCTTTCTGCAAATGCAGTAGCTGGTGTGGGTCCTGGGCCCTCAGGCCTCGGGCTCCACAGCCCTGAGCACCTGACTCATGGGGCCCTTCTGCTCCTAGGGGGGCGTGTGAAGACCTGGAAGCGTCGCTGGTTCATCCTGACGGATAACTGCCTCTACTACTTTGAATACACAACAGTAAGTGGGGAGCCCACTCTTCCTCCTTCCAGCAGTCACCAGAGCCCCCCGTGGTGAGGGGCCTTCGCCTACGGTCTGCTGAGGCTGCTGTGCACCTTTCTCTTGTAGGACAAAGAGCCTAGGGGAATCATCCCACTGGAAAACCTCAGCATCAGGGAGGTGGAGGACCCGCGGAAGCCTGTAAGTGGCTTTCTCCTGCCAGCTTCTTTCTACCCAGGGGGTGGCACTCCCCAGGCAAGGAGCCTGATGGCAGACAGCCTGGTCTGGCCCCCCGTGACATCCTCCTCCTTCTCTCCACCAGAACTGCTTTGAGCTTTACAATCCCAGTCACAAAGGGCAGGTCATCAAGGCCTGCAAAACAGAAGCCGATGGCCGAGTTGTGGAGGGGAACCACGTGGTGTACCGGATCTCTGCCCCGAGCCCAGAGGAGAAGGAGGAATGGATGAAATCCATCAAGTGAGTTAAGGTCTAGCAGAGTGAGCGCTTGCCTTGGGGACTCACGGGACAAATGTTCTCTGTAGGAGCTCAGGGGCTGCTGGAGAAGCTACCCTATCTCCATCTCCTCTCCAGTCTTGGAGGCCCTGGGCTGGTGGAAATTGGAGGTCTAGGGCTTGTCCTAGGCCCTGATTTGCTCACTTTGTTTTTTTTTCCCCAGAGCAAGCATCAGTAGGGATCCTTTCTATGACATGTTGGCCACAAGGAAAAGAAGAATTGCCAATAAGAAATAGAACTTACCTGGCTCCTCAGGTCACCAGGAAGATCCACACCCCACAGCAGAGCTGCAGGGCGGGGAGGTGGGATCCCGCTCGGCACTCACAGCTCCCCCAGAACTGCAGCCCCAACACACACGCCAAAGCCTTGTGCTGTGACTTGGACTGTGGTCAGCTGCCACCTTCGGGGCGCCCATGATGGGAGAGGTCCAAAGCATCAGGCCCCCCGGCTGGGCTGTGGGAATCTTCATCGTACACACAGGACTCGCGCAGCAGGAACTGCGTTTGCACCAGTCATGCCACGCTTGCGCATTGGGGCAGAGTTGACCACTCTAGAAGCCGCTGCTTTATATCAAAAGAGGAAAGGAAAAGCTACCACTTTTTTTATTCAGAATTTTTCTCAGATATATAGGATTATAGCTTTTATATGCCTTTTTATATTCTGAAATTATAATGAAAGATACTTTCTAACAGTAGTATTTTTAGAATGGCAGCTATAAATTTAACTCCTGGACACAAGTATATACCGTGCACTGAAAAAAAGTCTATATATGCAGCACTCAGAGGGCGGGCTGTGGGGCACTTGCCCTGGGTAGGAGCTGCTGTAGGGCCTGGCTGAGGACAGGCAGGTGCTCTGGGGAAGGTGGTGCCTGGTATCCTTGAAGAAGGGTACACTGGGGGCTCCGTGTGTGATCAGCTCTGCAACCTCCCCTCAACTCAGCTTTGGCCCCACAGATGCTTTCTAAAATAAAGTATTTATC